CGGTGAAAGAGGAGCCCGGGGCTGCCGCCCCCGGGCCGCTTGCGCTGTGCCCCTCTCCCGCCCCATCGGTGACGCTCCCTGGAGGGCAACAGGGGTACAAGGCGGGCCGCTTTCTCCCCCCGGAAGCAAGACCACGATAAATGGGATCCGTGCGTTCTCCTGCTAGTAGCTTTTAGGGTGTCCACTTCTCATCCGTGCTGTTAGCGTGCATTTACAGAAGCAGGCAGCTGCTGGACAGTGCTACTGGTCCCTTTGCTGGGCTCAGCGAGAAATGCCCACGTTGATCCCCTTTGTATCCCCCTTTGCTAGAGGAGCTGCGGCAGCGTGGCTTGGATGGCATCGCTGTCCTTCGATAACCCCGACTGTCCTGACCTGCAGCTGACCATGGGGGCAGTAATTGTGGAAGAAATAAGGGTGGCTGTTGAAGCAGACACCGGATTCAGGTGTTCAGCTGGGATTTCACACAACAAGGTACGTGTGTAACACATCACCCTGATGTCTTCTGAACAGCAGTGTCAGAATGTGCTGTAGACACTCCGCATCTCACTAAAGACAAGCTGAGTGGGGTGTGCACAGCCATGGGTGAGCACATCTTCAGGACAATTACAGGACATCTGGGAAGGGAAGGAGGTTTTATTTTTTACCCAAGATGTGGCCTATGCAGTCAGCACTCAATTAATTTACTGCCTGGAGTCCCACGTACTCTTCACAAGTCAGCTCACTAGGAGTAAAGTCCTCCAGGAGAGTTTTTTTTCTGAAAAAAAACATGAGCTTAAAGCAACTAACCTTCACCTTGAGTTTTAGGTAATAGGGGCTGTAGCCAGAGAATGGTTTTTACTGACACAAACGCCCAGTGAAGAAGACAACCAGTTTGGGGCCCTGAGGTGAGTCAGGTTGCTTTGCCTCTTTCTGGTCCATCAGTCTTCACTGCTGCTGACCACACTTTGGGTGATGCTCAGCCAGCTGCCGAGGGCAGCCGCAGGAGCACTTCGTGCATGACAGCAGCTGCAGAAACAAATGGGCTTTGGTGCTGCAGCTACAGAGGGTTTCCTGCTGGGTGAAGCTGAGGGTGCTTTACTGAGAGCACCCAGCACTCATTTCATTTTCTGAAGAACAGGTTTGTACCTACAGAGGTGAGTGTGGAGGCTGTGGAATCGCTGTGGAAGCGCTGTAGTGTGTTCTGTGTGGCTATATGTAGGCTCTGGTAATCTTCCCAGCTAGCTCATTGCTGCAGCACAGCCTGCTATGGTTTGGACTTGAGCCAGTGCAGAGCTAGCTCCAGTAACTGGTATTAGTTCCAGTTGTTTCTGCAGCAGTCCAAGATGAATTTATCTTTTCTAAGTTCCACAGCATCTGTTTACTCTTTATCCTTTTTCAGTCAGAGTTTGCATTTTTAAAGTCGTAACTGTACAGAGAAGCCCAATTGCATAGAATGAAACGAGTGCTGGGTGTTTTCAGTAAAGCACCCAGCATTTTACCCAGCAGGAAGCCCTCTGTAGCTGCAGCATCAAAGCCCATTTGTTTCTGCAGCTGCTGTCATGCACGAAGTGCTCCTGCGGCTGCCCTCGGCAGCTGGCTGAGCATCACCCAAAGTGTGGTCAGCAGCAGTGAAGACTGATGGACCAGAAAGAGGCAAAGCAACCTGACTCACCTCAGGGCCCCAAACTGGTTGTCTGCTTCCTCCAAGTCCCTGAGCATTTGTGTCAGTAAAAACCATTCTGGCAGAGGAAATTAGAGCTGAAAATTCTGGGCCTGAAAAAGCCCAGAAGCAGTCTGACATCACCAAACAGTGCTCCTTATGCTCCTCACTGACTGGTTTTGTGGTTTATAGGAAAAAAGCAACCAGCAGGCTTTTGGCTAAGTCACAGTAAGTCAGGAAGTAGCCTGGAGTTACTGTGGAGAAGTAGCAGGGTGAGTCAGTAATGCAAGTGCTCTTGTAGAAATGGTAAATCCTGTTTCAGCATGTGCAGCTTAGAGGTGTCAGAAAAAGTAAATGACTTCTCCTTGTGAAGCCTTAGCAATTGGTTCAGTTTGCAGCACTTCACTTGATGAACAGTGTGGGTAAGCTTGAAAGAGCCTCTTGTGAAGCACAAATAATAATTGCACATCTGGAAAATGACTGGATATGAAAAAGTTGAAGGAGAGGGATTCAGTTTGTTTAGAAAAGACTGAGAACATGTGTAACCCTGTAAAACAGGCTGTTGAATAAAGATCATACCTCAATAGGCAGGAAAGAAAATTTGCTTAGTTATAGGATGTGTGGTAAAGCAGTGAAAGAGGATATTATTAGGCTTGTTAAAAATAAAACCACCCCACTCAGCTACACCTATTTCAGGCTGCTCTGTGTATTGTTGATGCTGTGGTAGATCAGCATGGGAGGGGAAGCTGTATAGCAGACAGGCTAGAGGACACCCCTTCCAGGCTAGCAGTTCTGTATTTTGCACATTTCCTTTTGCAGCATTATTCTGTTGTGGACCTTGCAGAGAGATTAAAATAGTGACACTGAGAAAAACCAAGACAAACACAGAAGATGGAGCAAGACATAGTGAGAGAGATATCCCAGGGAGGATTATGGGGATGCTCTGGAAGCTCTAGCATGCTTGTCTGATGGAAAATGAAGCCAGCCAGAACAGGTGGTAGGCCCAGATGTTTTAAGCTGCCTGGAGCAGCAGTCCAGCCAGCCCTTAGCAGAGCTAGAAGTCTGGAAGCAGCCGTGCTCTTGGAGTACCCAGTCAGTGTGTGCCAAGTCCCAAGGTGGGTGCAACAGTGGAACCTGCACGTCCTTCCTAGCAGCTATTCCAGAGGCAGCTCCTAGAGGTGGCAGAGCACAAGCCGTTAAGTAGTCAGTGTTTGTAATAACAGTTTCCACCTTCTTCTGTGTTACAGACACTGGCAAAACTGGCCTGTGGCTTAAACAAGCCCAACCGCCAGACGCTGGTATCTGCACGGTTTGTCCCGCAGCTCTTCAGCCAGCTGCCCGTCAGCAACATGTAAGTACTGGGGAGCTGCCCGCTGCTGTGCGGCGTGGGGCTCGGCCTGAGCTGCTCCGTGGCAAGAGCTTGTGCTTGGAAAGCCACTGCTGTGCTTCCACGATCCAGGCTTTTATTAGGGAGGGAGCCCTGTTTGTCTCCCTTGTTGTGGTTCTTGCTCCTGTTGGTTTCTCATCGTTGCTTGTGTGAGCGGAACTAAAATGACCTGGGGGTAGGAAACTGTTCCTGGCCACCTCAGCAGAGAGCAATTTGATGCTAACTGATAGCAGCCAGCAAAAGCTTTCAACTCCACAGTGACTGCTCATCAATGCTTGTAAGAAATGGAGAGCAAATCCTGCCAGTCATCCCTCAGAGCTGTGAGTGACAGTTCAGGAGGAGCGTGCTTGGGAGCTGCAGCCCTGTGTGGGTCCCCACGAAGGGACCACACTCAAAGAGCCCACTAGCATCCTGTGGGCAGCCCTTCCCTGGGTAGAGGTGTGCTCGGCACGATGGCTGAGGTGCATGGGAGTAAGCCAGGAGCAACGGGGACACACAGGCCATAGCTGTGCCCCAGTGTGAGTGGCAGAGCTGTGCTCCTAGAGAGCAGATGTTGTTTGGTTTTGAGCAGCCACACTTTACAAGTCCTGGTGCAGGAAAAATTTACCAGCACTGCTGCTTTCACTGTCACAGGGATGGCAAGGGGGGTGAGGATGAAGAAGGGTCCTGTCTGTGATGGAGGAAGCAGGGAGCCTGTGAGGCATTCTTCAGAGTGTGGTTTGGGATCACATTTTGAAGGTGGAGCTGAAGGAGTGCTGAAACTGTGTGAGCCAAAGAGTAGTTCCCACTTCAACTCCTATGTGTCCTTCTACTACAAGAGGAAGAGCTGCTATGTACCAAATTGTTCCCCTTTGTCCTGCTAGTTCCTGACTGCTTCTGGCTGCCCTGATGTAGGGACAGCTGCTGCAAGAAGACTTTGCCATAGTCTCCACATGTTTCTTCATTTGTGTTTTTCTTTCTCTGCTGTAGCCGTAACCTGGGAGGCAAGCTGGGCACTGCCATCACAGACGTTCTGGGGGTAGAGTACATCGGGGAGCTGACACGCTTCAGTGAGACAGAGCTCCAGACTCACTTTGGAGACAAAACTGGGTAATGATAAACCACTCACCGCAGCTTGGCTCTTGGCAGGAACTGGGACTTCCTTTTGGTCACAGGTTGTTCTGCTCTGATTAGGAAGGTTGGAAGGTAAGACTTCAGTGACATCTTTGAGAAGCATTGGTCTGGCAGGCTCACAAACAGGTTTCCAGTCTCACCTGCTCCCAGGCACCCTCCCCAGGATAATGTTTTGCCTGGCAGCCAGCTCCTCTGTGTTCCTCTACAGTGTCTAAGGATGGTGCCAAACTGTGGAAGGACTCCCTGCAGGCTGGGAAGCAGGCTGCCTTGACAGTCTAAATTTCCTCTGTAGAGGAAATTACAGGGGTGGACTAGAGCCTGAAACACCACTTCTGGGCCCAGAGCAGCGCCTGGGGTGCCCTGCAGACTGGTGCACTGTTGCCACTTTAGGAGAAGAGGAGGAGGAGTTGTGTGGAGTTGTGGACTGAAGGCAGTCTGCCTGTTCAGCTGTGGCTGCAACTGCAGAGCTGGAGATGAGGGGCAGTCACAGCACTGAAAGCACAGCTTAGCAGAAGGCTGACTCGCTGTCCCATGCTGCCTGCCTGTGGCTGCCTTCACTTCACGTTTCCTCTGTGTCTTTCAGGTCCTGGCTCTATGACTTGTGCAGAGGAATTGAAGATGAACCTGTCAAAAACCGGTACCTGCCCCAGTCCATTGGCTGCAGCAAGAACTTCCCTGGGAGGACAGCCCTGGCCACGCAGAAGGAGGTAGGAGAAGCCTAAATCTAGCACAAGGCTTGACCATTGCACTGGAGAAGATGAGAATGCTAAAAGCTGAGATTAGCTTGCAAGACTGCTGCTCTTCTGTGTCACGGTGCTCTGAAACTCAGTTTAGGGGCTCACAGTGGGAGGAGGTGGTTTGGGCCCCAGAAATTAGGGAAATCCCCATTTGACAGAAATGCATTGATGAATTCCTGCACAAAGGTGCAACCTTGTTGTAATTTCCACAACCAAAACCGTGGGCCTGTGTTGTTGAAAAGGTATTCACAGTGCCAAGCTTTAAAGGCTGGCTTGCTCGAAAGAAGCTAACTAGCCCAAAGAAAGAGGAAGGATGCACCTTACCTGTTAGCCGAGGAGAGGTTCCCACAGAGCTGTAGGGAGATGCCAAGAGAGATCCAGGGCAGGGGACACAGGTTACTCGGCAAGGTCTAGCAGTGACGGTGCAAGACTTGTATGGTATCTACACTGACTGACCCCAGGCTGATTTCTGCAGACAGAGGGCCATTCCAGCCTGATCCCCCTCCAGCACTCCCCACTGTGCAGAGCGTTGCTCTGTCCCAGGGGCAGTACTGTGAGCCCAACTTGTCTGTTACCACTGTTTTGTCCAGGTGCAACACTGGCTTCTGCAGCTAGCCTTGGAGCTGGAATCCAGACTGATCAAGGACAGGAGCCAGGTAAGGAGGTGAGGCACAGGGGCAGCGTTGTCCCTGCTGGCCTTTGGGAAGACACGCACTGCATCTGTACCACAAGCTGTTTGCAGGAGGCTGAGGGTGGTGTGTAGTGGGGGAGGTTATCTGCTGACCCTCAGATGTGTGCCTCTGTGCTGAAGTGTCCCAAGCAAAAAGGTGGACATGAGGTGGGCCAGGAAGAGTGGTTTTGCCCCAGAACACTGCAGGGTTAAGGATGGTCCTTGTCCCCTGCTTTAGGATGCAGGGACCTGAGAGCCACCACACCTTCCTCCTGCTGCACTGCTGCTCCCTTGTAAGCCCTTTGCTGATCGAGCTGTGCCTGTGCTGTGGGTGGTGAGAGGAAGCAAGATGCTCAAGTCTGGATGGTAGCCTGCAGGCCAGGGTGGGAGTAACCTGCTAGCTTCATGGCTGCAGAGGGGCCAGGACAAGGTGCACAGCTGCCTCTGAAGGAAAGCAAGGACTGCTTCCCATCCTGTGGGGCACAGCTGTACAAGCACTTGCTGTCCTGTATCTCATCCCTTGGAGTCCAAGTCAGGCAGGACAAGCTGCCATCTGTCACACAGCATCATCGAGGTGGGGGTGGCTGATAGTACAGGGTTCTGGGCAGCGAGACGGTCTCCTCGGCCTTTCCTGCTCTTTCCTGCAGGTGTCGCTTGAAATACAGTTCTCTCCTCTTTCTGCAGAACCACCGGGTGGCCAAGCAGCTGATGGTGGTCATCCGCATGCAGGGAGACACCCGGGTGTCACGTTTCTGTGCGCTCTCCCGCTATGATGCCCAGAAGATGTGCAGCGATGCCTTCACCCTCATCCAAAACTGCAACACGGCTGGGGCTCACCAGGCGGCCTGGTGGGTGTGCGAGGAAGCGGCTCACCTTCCCGTGAGGGGTTGTTCTGCTGCCAGAGGTGCAGGACGAGCCAGGGACCTGACAGAGAGGAAGGAGAGCGTTACACTGACTGTCAGGAAGAGTGGTCCCCAGCTCACGTGGAGCACAGCAGCCTCTGCTTGTTAGTGGTGGGACAGCTCTGGGAGCCTGGCCTCTGCCTAGCCGCACATCTGGCGAGACACTGCTGTACTTGGAGCTGATGAGTGCTCCTGGCAGGGGCTGGTCAAGATAGAGCAAGGCAGTCTTTGCCCTGCTAGGCTGGAGGAGCTAGCTGGGCCTTAAAGGTTCTTTTTAGGAGGCTGTTGGGGCAGAAAGGAAGACTAAGATGCACACCTCCCTTATTCAATGTTCGTTCCTTCCTCCTGCTCTGCAGTGAAGGCTGAAGTACAGTTAAGGCAAGAATGTCCTCTCCGTTAGGCTCTAACAAGGCTTAAGGCCCTCTCACCTTGCCTGGGAGTCTCACAGCAGCTCCAGCCTGGGGTGGACTGAAAGTCCAGGCTGGCAGCTGGCTGCCCATGCTCCATTGCCCTTTCCTTTGGGAAGTGCTGTTGGGCCAAGAGGCTTTCTGTTCTGCCCAGCACAGCCTGTCATGTCTGTAAGACCCTCTTCTGGAGGTAGCAATACTAAGATTCTGTCAGAGGAAATGCCTCTCCCACTCCTTGCCAGATATGTGGATTGCAGTTCCCCTGGCCCCTGCCCCTAAACATTTTATGTTGCTTAAAAACTTACCACCAAAGACGTCTTGCTTCCCAGGCTGGTGTCTGAGCTGGTGTTGGTCTGTCCTTTGCAGGTCTCCACCGCTCATATCGGTGCTTCTCTCAGCAAACAAGTTCTCAGAGCCTGCCACGCTGCTCTCTGGGGGCATCGCCACCTTCCTGACGAGCGACAGCCAGCCTGAAGGCAGTGCTCCCGACGGTCAAAACACCACACCTTCCAGGGGGCCCAGGGTCAGATTCTTCAGGAGCCCAAGCAAAGAGCCTAGGCAGAAGCCAGCTAATGCTATCGAGTCGTTCTTCCAAAGGGCGGCAGAGAGGCAGCAGCAGCCACAGACGGCACCAGCCGGCCTGCCTAGGGCTGGCTCTGCGGGGTCAGCTGTGCCCGGCTCCCCAGAGCAGCAGGGGGGCGCTGGACCTGCCCCTGCGCAGCGTGACCCGGAGTCCCCTGGGAAGCGGTGCCCCGGAGGTGGGAGCCCTGCTTCTCCTCACAAAAGGCTTCCCTGTGAGAAGGCACTGTCTGATTCTACACAACCACCCTCGACTCCACCCAGCTCCAGCTCCCTTCTGAAGCTAGTGCCAGCCATGGAGGGAAACGAGCAGAATTTGCCACCCTCTCCTGGGCTCGCCCTGCTCCCTCCTGCCTCGCCGGGGGACCAGCAGCGCTGCGAGAAGTGCGGCCAGCTCGTGCTGGTGTGGGAGTTCCCAGAGCACATGGACTACCACTTTGCTCTGGAGCTGCAAAGCTCCTTCCTGGAGCTCAGCGCTCCTGCAGCTCCAGAAGCAGCTCCCAGCCCAGATGCTGCAGCTTCCAGGTCTCCTGCCAAGGCAAAGAACAAGCCCAAGACTCCAGCAGGATCTAGTGCAAAACGACCCAGAGAAGGTGCAACAAGAACTTTAGATTTTTTCTTTAAGCGCTTGCCTCCTTAACTCCCAGCCATACAGGGAGTTTTTAGATAATCACCTTTTTAAAGAATGTGTTTTTAAATACAGTTAAAAGTTTTTATACTGCCTGTCATGTTTTAATGCAGAAAAGTCTAATAAATTATCCTAAGTCTAAAAGGAAATGGAACTCATGAATTGTATATGATGCTGGACACACCCAGTTTAGCTGGTGGCAGCTAGTTTGCCTCTGCCTGCTCGGTGCTGCCAGAAGCTGCATCGTACTCTCACCTACACCTCCTGCCGTGGGTATTTCAGTAGCATCACTGCTCAGTAATTCTGTGAAAGTGGGAACAGTGGCTTCCCCCAGGGAATCTCCAGCCAAGGCTAGGTTTGAACCCGTATCTAGTCACTTGTTATGAAGCCTTAGAGGTGGTTCTCTGGCTGTAGTTGGCAGGCTCTGCCCTTACTGTATAACTTGCGTATGATAGTTTATCCCTGTGGTTCCTTCTCTCTCCACCTGGAAGACACTGACTTTTTTATTTTTTTTTTTTTTATATCCACCCTCCCCCTTCATCAGTATTTTTGGTATAGACAGTTTGGCAATTCCCTGTGGGATGCTTCTCACCAGCACTGGAGCGCACAAGATGGCCTGCTCCTGTCAAACAAGATTTGAGGAAGGTGGAGCTATAGGGACATACTTTTTGTTGGGCTTTTTGAAATCTCATCCCCAGTTTGGTAACTGACAATATTATAAACACATAACATTTTACTACTAGAGACCCCATGGAAGGGATGGGAAACATTCTAGAGTCACACAGCCCTCTGTGAAAGGTTTCCTCCATCCCAGAAAACTGGTAGCTACTTTTTTTTCCCCTCCTCCCCAGACTCCGGGTGCTACTACATGCAAATTTATGGCAGGTAACCGTTTTGCTCCTGCCCTGCTGAATGACTCGTTAAGCTCTCTGGGCCACAGTTCTCACCTGAGTGACTGCCCCAGTGCTCCACAAATTACAACAGAGCCAATAAAGCAGAGTATGGTGGAGGGGGCACTGAGAGAGGGTGGGACCGGCTCCAGGGCAAGAGATGTGCTCACCCTCAGCCGGCCCAGCAGGGCTCAGCCCCGAGCTACACCACTAGCCACCCGCCCACCTTTTCCAGAAGTGCTCCTGCCAATAACTCGAACTTGGCTTTTAGGGTGGGGGGAGGGACCGTGCCACGTCAAGGCAGTGCTGGGTGGGGTTTGGAGACACACTTTATTACAGAGAGTTTCATCAGCTGCAGGCTTCCCCTCCCTGAGCAGGAGGAGAGAGCCTTTCTGGCAGCAGATAATGATGCAAAGCACAGCTGTATTTGCATGTGCTGTTTCCCCTTTATTTCTGAACAGCAGCATCCTGCTTGCAGCTGCTGAGCTGCTCTCCTTCCAGGAGACAGCCTGTGCGGGGAAACTGCAACGCTGCTGACACTGGAGGGGTCTAATACTTCACAACACAGTTGTGAGATTTCAGGAAGCACAAGAAGCTTGTTCTGGTGTGTGCAGCTTGGCTGGTAATCAGCAGAGGAAGGGATTACAGAGTGACTCCCATTAATGACAGTCCTCACGTTGCAAAGTGACAAGTTTCCCAAAGCACTCATGTCAAGTGAAGTAGCAACCAGTCGGGCAGGGTTGCCTCACGCTCCTGTGACAGCAGCAGGTCTCATTTCCTAAGCGTCTGGCAGGACTGGACTCAACAGATGCCACTACCTGACACAAAAACAAGTCAAGACCAGGCAAACCCCTTCAGTGGCACGAGTCACCTCCACAGGGAAGCCCTTTGGCCTCTGCTTGCCCGAGGGAACAACCTGTTCTCACGGAGAGAAGGCAGTCACAAACCCCTTCTTGATAAGGTCAAAGCTATTTTAAAAACAAACCACGAGTTAGATGCGTGCCCTAGAAAGCATCCCTTTAATTAGGCTCTGGGGGAATTTGTGGCTGTGAGGAAGCACTCAGCACAGCCCGTTCCGCCCACAACAGCCCCAAGTGCTGTGCTGAGGTGACGTGGCTGCCTGTCACCCCAGGCTGCACACCCAGGCTTGCTCAGATAAG